CTTTTTCCAATTTTAATTAAATTTATTACATGATTATTCCCTTTATTATTATTTTCCTATAACATTTTTTAAATAAAAGCGTTGATTAGTGAAGGGACAAGAAGACTATCAGAATAAAATTCATTTCTAGCATTTTCATTGAGAATAAAGACCAATGCTTTGGTTATAGTTATACAAATTTCTTTCTCTATATTAGTCATATAATATAAGAAAGATATAATTGCAATTTATCTCTTATGCCTGAATCTCGCATATAATGCATGGTTATCATTTCATTTTTATGGATTCTTTCACTTTCACTTGACCATAATTTAAGAATCTGTCATAGGTTGAATTATGTTCCCCCAAAAAAGATAGGATGGACTCCTAACCCCAGCACTTCAGAATGTGACCTTATTTTAAGATGGAGTCTTTACAGAGGTAAGTTAAAATGGGGTCATTAGGGTAGGCCCAAATTCCAGTATAACTGGTGTCTTTCTAAGGGAGAAATTTGGACAGAGACACAAATGCATAAAAATAAGACCATGAGCAGAGAGACAGAGAGAATATAGCTATTTATAAGTTAAATAAAGAGTCTGGAACACATCCTGCCCTCAGAAGCTACTACCCTTGCCAACACCTTGATTTTGGATTTCTCTCAACTGGGCTCTGCATCTTGAGTAAATGATGCAAGAATGGAAAGATAGTTGGTGATCATTGACTTCAGCAACAATGACCTGAATTTGGGATATGATAATTTTCTGCTATTAGGAATTTTTTTAGCTAAGTTCTTTACAGTTGCTATTAGTTTTGCTATCTACTCACTATGCTTCATGCTACATTCATTTTCATAAGGACATATCTAAAATTCATAACCTTAAAATCTACCCAGTTCAGACTTATACAAACCTAGATCCATATGTCCTTAATTTCTATAAATTTCCACCATTCATGATTGAGAAAATGTAAGATGTGGGAATGTAAAAAAAAATAAAACTCATGATAGCTATTGAGGGCCACCACAGATATAAAGGTGAAAAAAAGGTTAATTATGTCAGGTTCAGAAGTTTCCTCGTTAGGAATATTTATTCTGGAGACGTGGTATGATAGATAATTCGATCATAAACATTTCTCCTGGGAGGCAACCCAAGGAGAGCATTTCAATGTAGGGTGCAAGTAAAAAGTGAATTTATTTTCCAAACTTTGATAATAAAAGTATGAATAATATGCTGGGACAATAGGTGTAAGCAGGGACTGTCCCAGGCAAACAGAGACTGTCTTAGACAAACTGTAGTAGTTAGGCAGGTACCAAGTTATGAGCTTCCTCCTGCAAAATAGTCACAGCCATGGACTAGTAGATCAAGGACTGGAATCACTCAGTGTTAGAAACATCCTGTGATTCATCTCTACTGCTCTTCCTGAGCATTAATGGTAGGCGCGGGACAGGTGGCAGGTTGTCAGGGTGCGTACCATAGCATTTACCAAATGGAGCCTCTTGGCTTTGAAAATCTCCTAACCAGTTAGTTATTTTTTTGCTTGGAATTAGCTAACACTAGCTAATGCAATGAGGATTCCTAGTCACAACGCAATGAGAATTCCTCCTATGTAAATGTGCACAGCAAGTGGGCATTTGATAAATGCTTTTCATCAACATACTCAGGATCAAGGCAGTTGGAAGTCAATGATTCAGCAGTCTGCCCTGCCTTGATTTTTAGTTAAATTTTGAACATTTTACTGAATTATGTGCCATATAGACTTATACTTAGCAATTTATTAAATGCTTCATTTTATAGCAACAGACATGATTGAACTTAAACACTCATGTGGCATAAAAGTATCCAGGCTTCCCATAGGCATCAGAAATCTTCAGGATACTTCTTTACTGTACTCCTTTTACATGGGGCCTAAACTATGTTATTTGGTATTAAATGAGATACCCCATTATATAATCATCCAAGTGTGCATTAGATCTATGTGAGTTTGTCTTGTCTGAAGACAAGAATCTCTTTTTATAAATCTATTGTGTCCTCCATAGAGTCTACCTATGAGGCGGAGCCCTTAATCTAAACCCAAAAAATATACAATCAACTGATACTATAGCAATGATTCATAGCTGAGGATTTTGAAGGATTGAATAAATGGATTTCCCAACACAGAACAAATTGAAATGAATAATCTAGAGTCTGTTCTAGTATGGGTGAATTAATATCTACTCAGTGACTGAATCAGCACACAATGTTTTTCTCCTTTAGGATCTAAATTATCCCAATGTTTATTTTCATATTTTTCCTTGTTTTGGTATTAGAAATACTGCCTCAGGGTTTCTACATTAATCAAAATTCTTGTAAAAATAAGCAAACTGTAAATTCAGGGGAAGAAGGCTTTTTCATTTGATTCTATTTCATAATCTTCTTGATACTGAATTTCAGAGGTAAGCATGTCAAATAATTTGAATAAAAATTTTATGAGTTATTTGTAATATTTACCATTTACACCTGCAAATCAAGCTCTTCATAAAGCAAACAAGTCAGAAATAATAAAAAAATTGAAATGTACCCCATTTGGGCTTGATATTACAACTGTCCCTCAGTATATATGGGGGTGGGCATGGCTCTAGAACGCCCACATGCACCCAAATCTGGGCATATTTAAGTCTTGAGTCCAGTCAGCCTTGCAAAACCCTCATATGTGAAAAGGTAACCCTCCATATTTGATCCACGTTCAGTTGAATCCATGCAGCTCAAATTCATATTGTTCAAAGCTCAACTGTACATATTTGAGGAAAAATTTAAGCATAATTATAAAATCTTATCTCTTAGATTCTTTTAGAGATAGAATTTTAAATAAAAGATTTAATTCAATAAAATCCCCAAAGTTTAATCCAAAGTGAGTGATCCTAAACAAGGAACCTCACTCTAAATGTGATTAAATATCATATTTCAAGAAACAGAAAGAAATAGAATTTCGTTTGAAAGGAATCTATAAGATTTGAAAAGTCACAAAAATATATTCAATTTAAGAAGAAGTTCTTAGTGTGTAAACCAAAAATATGGTGAGGGGTTAGTGGAGAGAGGTTCAATTTACCTTGTTAGCCTAATTTCACATAAATACTGTTATTAGATCTAACATGTTTCTGTGTTGAAATTATTTTCTAAAAAAAAAGTTATCTGAAATTATCACTGTCCTAAAAAGTTTAATCATAATCTATAGCTTCCATATGTTTGTGTTTTTATGATATGTTAATCAATCTGTCAGTTCAAATTAAACAGACATGAGTACAAAATATTGGTTTGTTGTTGTTCGATATGATTTGTTTTAAGGGGCTGTTTCTATATGTTAAAGTATAATTTAAAAAACCAAGTGATTTCAAAATATACAATAAGGTGGTTATCTAAATTAACAACTGAGTAATAATTACTGAAATTATGTAAAATAGAGTTTTACACAATAGTGTTCATATACAATGTTAATCTTTTTCTCTTTAATAAAGCTATTAAATTACAATATAAAATCAAGGCCTTGATAAAATCTTAGTAAAGGAATTATAATTAATTTAAATTATTAGACTAAAATTGTATTTTTACATTTCTAATTGTAAAATGTATAATAAAATATCTTCTGGATTATTTTTAATAATGCTTTAAGAATAAAAAAATGTAAATGTTTTGAAACTAGATAGTGGTGATCGTCATACAACACCGTGAATGTAATTAATAACACTGAATTATATACTTAAAAATGGTCAAAATGGTAAGTTTTATGTTATCTGTATTTTACCTCAATCTTTTTAAAAGTCTAGAAAATTAGAGGAGTTGATATCGTCGAATATTTTTAACAGTAAAATATGTTTGTGGTCATTGAAATAGTGTAGCATTTTGCAGTGTAAAAAGTAATGTCACATGCATAATCTTGTTTTTTTTCTTCCCGCCCACCCTGCCAATTAAATTCACATTAAACTTTCCATAGGACAAATAGTTTTACTGGTTATTTTAAAAATTAAAATGTTTATAAGAATTTCATATTTCCCTTTTGTGGAAATTAAGATTTCTTATACAATGGTTTCTATGATTTTTGTTGTACTTTCTGCTTTAAAAACCAATTTTTCCTTCTTCTGAATCACGTGACTTTGAATCTCATATGCTTTAAAAGTTTTCTCAGAACTCTTATTACTGTCAGACATCATGTCTAATAGTGTAAATCATGGGGATAACATTTATAACTTTCCAAAGAATTTGATGACTATATGTTTCTTTTGGGATCATTAAGCTGTACACTTTTCCAGTGGAAAATAACAAAGAGGTACTTCAATCAGTTTGATTTCTAAATGCTTAAAAAGTCTTAAAAAACCAAACCAACAAACAAAAAAACAGCCCAAACTCGTTTGTTGTTGCTGTTGGTTAAATGGTATTCGATTTCCTTTTTAGATTTGTCTGTAAGGAATATTCAAAAATGGTAAAAAAAATTTTTTTCAAATCACTGTGTTTCAGCAAAATATGTCATGTTATAGACATTTTTGTCATTACAAATTAAATCAGGAAAGTAGTGAGGTCCAAGTTTATATGAAAAAGTAGGGTTTATGAATTTGCCTGTGATCACATGACATCTTGACACTTTGGTTTTGCCATTAGCCTCAGCTTCTCATGGGACGAAGCCAAGCAATGTTGGAGGCAGTGACATAAGTCAGGTATCCATCCTGTCTGGCACATGAGAGGCACTGAAATAATTTAGGTAGTTCCCTTCTCAAAAATTCTCCCTGATACATTTATTAAAGTGATTATGTGAAATAAAGTATTTAAAGAGATTGGAAGAAGATTTATCAGGTGTCCTGGTACCTAAGTTAGCCAGCAAGAGAATAATATGTGGAAATGATAGAAGTAGTACGAAGAGATTACTCAAGTGCCTTGGTCATAAACTATTAAAAATGACAAAATGATTAGATGGCAGTCAAAAATTTAGATGACATTTATCAGTTTTAGATGTGCCACCTTTCAGAGTGATCACGACAGTTCAATATTTTCAACTTCTGGGCTTTTATTTTAGGTTTAAATTTTGAGCATTTTTAATTTGCTATAATCACATGATTTTCATAGCATGTTTTCTCAAACTGTAAGTATAATTTTAATACAATCAAGTGAATTAAAACTTTCTTCCCCTTAGAAACATAAATATAATTTTAGTATGGAATTAAATAATATTAGACTCTATATGCAAAAGAACCTCCCTTACATATGAATTCATAAACCATAACCATTGTATATACACTTTTAATTGAACATTCTAAAATCATCGGTATTTCTACAAAGGCATCCACTAGTCTAATCAAATTCTCTTCTTAAACTATACTTTTCCGTAAATTGTTTTTTAAATGTGTTTTTCTGAGTCTTATGTTTAAAAAAAAAAAAATCAAGACCTAAAAGTACTAGTTGAGTTCTGAATAAATTGGGTCAAATTTTTTAGTATCATGTTCAACATTAATATTTTTTTAAAACTTGGCTTTTATATAATTCTTATCATAATTACTTAATATGTACATTTGCCTTTTTAATTTCTTCTCACCATTATTTTCACCCAAATCATATGTTTTTTATAACTTGCTCTCTTCTCCATACCAAATTGCGACTGGAAAATAGCTCACTCATTTCTTATATTTAAGCTTTAGTTTTCCTCTTTTACAATTCCAAGTAATAAACATGTAAATGGCCTTTTTCTCTATACTGTTTTCTCATTATAAGCTCTGAAAAGGCTGTATGATAGATAAAGTGACTCGCTTTAGAAACTCCTATGATCTGGCCAAATAACTATTTTAACATAACATCAGGCAATATATTTCTTTCCTTGTCATATAAAGGTAAGTTGACTCATTTTTAGAATTGTTCTTTTGAGTAAAAGAGACATATCCTATATAATATTATTCTTACCTAATAAAAAATAATCACTTGTAAATGTTAAGATCTCATAGTAACAACTCATCCTAACATGAAAGGAAATTTATTAAAAAAATATAATCTGGTTTAGACCACAGATTTAACTGTTTATTCTATTACTCTGTCATCACATCTTATTTTCCCCCCTCATTTCGTAGGATTTATCTGAGGGTGGGAGAAGGATTTAAATAATCTAAAGGCTTGATGTGATTACCAGATGCTTTAGTGGGATAGATGAACTTTAATACAGCGAACTTTCAAAACTATGCAGAATAAGGGGAGAATATCTCAGTGGTAAACAAAAACATTTCTCAGTACTTTCTAATCCTAGCTCCCTCGACAGAACTTTCCTGTCCAAGGGCAAATCAGTTAGCATTTTTGCTACACAATGTCTTCATCTGTGTGGCAGTCTGAATAACAGCCCTGCCTGCCATCCCCTTACCCCACCTCTCCATATTCATGTCCTAATCCTGGAAACTTGTGAATAATGTATCTGTCAAAAGGGATGTGGCACATGTGATTCAATTAGGGATCTTGAGGTGGAGAGATTATCCCAGATTATTTGAGTTATAACCTAAATGTAATCACAGGTGTCTTTATAAGAGGCTGGCAGAAGGAGATCTGACTGTAGAAGAGGACAGGAGGTTGTGATCGTGGAAGCAGAGGTCGAAGTGAAGCCAGGAACCAGGGAATGCTGGTAGCCTCCATAAGTGGAAGAAGCAAGAATCTCCCCTGGAGCATCCAGAAAAAAGTAGACCTATGGACATCTTGGTTTTAGCTCCTTAAGTCTCATTTTGGCTTTCTGACCTCCAGAACTATGAGAAGACAGATACGTGCTTTTTTTAAGTTACTGAAGTTGTGGTAATCTGTTACAGCATCTGTAGAAAACTAGACCTGCAAGATCCTTCTATGATTGGAGAAAAATCTGTACTGTCTGCTTTGGGGATTTTTATTTTGAAGCATTTATGGCTATAACTTAAAAAAATCATTTTTCACTAGTTATTTGGGATGTAACATTCTTTGCTGTAATTGATCTATTGGGTATCAGTAAGTTGTCATGCAGAGGCAGCAAACAGTACTGGAGATATTTCTTTTAGTTTCTTTTACCAAGTTGAAAGAAGATGTATCATTAATGAATGAAACGCATGATTTCTATGTTTGAGTTGCCAATTCATTTAGAAATTCAAAACACAAGAATCTTGCAGAAATCAGCTGCCAGATTTATTAATCTACCTGAAAATAAAAACATAAAAACACAACCAAACAAAAAGTGGAATAAAAACAATTAAAAAAAAAAAAAACTTCAGATACATTTTTCAAAAGAGTTTATAATGCAATATTCTGAACCCTTCTGTATTGGAAATATACTTAATGTTGGCCAATTACTTATTTAGTTTAGTGAGTCACTACCTTAAACAGCAAAATATATAGTTTAAACATTATATAGTTAGTATCATTTCTGCCTTTGCTCTATTAAGATAACTCATGACCCAATTCTTCCTCACTGACTGACTTGAACTAGTATATTTAAAAGAAGAAAAGAAAAAAGGAAAAAAAGGAAAAAGACAAAAAAAAAAAAGAAAGAAAGAAAAATCCTCAATACAGTTTTCATTTAGAACACATTTTAAAGACCCAATTAAAATTTCTCCTTCAATGTTAACAAATAATCATATATCTCAATTCTCTTTCCAATAAAACTTTCACCCAGTATTTTAACATCTGTTTTCATTCTAAGTGCTGTAAATGGCCACATGAGCATAGTGGGGAAAAAAAGTTCTGATTTTTAAGGCATACTTATTAGCCCATAAAGGACCAAATTATATATGACGTATATGTAGAACAATCATTGAAATCACAGATTACATACATATTTTGAAATTAGAGTATGTTTTGATTGTAGGATTAAATGTGAATAAGTATTGATTTTGGTATATGGATTTTTCAATAACTGTTCAATTTAGAGAAATGAGCTGTGACCTGTGTAGTCTTGGAAAATGGGTAGCTGCAGGGGATCATCTTTAAGAAATCCTTCCTGTGCTCATCATGAAATGCTTTTATAGGTTTATTTTGTCTTTATGTTTAGGATTTTTTAAAACATTTTGCTAGACTCTTAAAAAAAGGTTGTTTCTCTAGGTTATTGATAGATTGAACAAAACTCATGTTCCTTGCCTGGCTTGAATCTTTCTAACAAGCTATTTAGATACTATAATACCATTTAATTACGGTTTTTTCAAAGTGAATAGAACAACATATCCTGCTTTCAATATTTTCTCCATATGCAAAACAAAAACAAAACAAAAAAACTTTGAAACTTTAAATCTTTAAATCTTCTTTCAAACAATCCAATCACATTTACAGGAGCGTCCAAAACGAGATGTTGGATAGTATCAGTGCCAGCACTATGTCATACAGCAACTTCCTCAAATTCTTTGACAGTTTGTAAATAATTTTCCATTTCACCAAAAGTTACAAAAGTTTCCACAGTTTCCCTTAGCAAGCTGAAGCTTACTCTTCATTTGCCAATGTGCATAAAAGCTGTTTAGAGCATAGCATGGCATAAGCTATTTTTTAAGCAATAAATGGTTCGAGTCATCTATTTTGTCCTGAAATGCTATCTGTAGTTAACTGCATTGCTTATAAATGGTCATAGTAAATTCAGCATGAAAGAGAATATTACAGAAAAGACAGCAGCAGAAGCATTAGCATTATCTAATATTTATATATGTTATCAACATAACACAGCAGTAAAAGGTTTAAATGCATACCGATGGGTACCATGTCTAAAAATTACTATAGTACCTATTTAGTGTATTGGATATTTTTCTTAAAGAGTGCTTGCTGTAACTAGGACAGCATAATATGTGATTTAGTACAGTTAATTCTTATTGATTAAATAATGTATTTATGTACTGAAGGAAGTGAAAAGGAGACAAATATTTTTTGCTTCATTGTGATCCCAGATTTAACGTTTAAGTGAATATTCCAAAGGACCATGACATGTCATTATTTAACTGAAATGGGCTTCAAAATACTTAAAAGACAGTATGATTTGTATCTAAACAGCAAGGTGGCACCAGATACATGTAATGCTACTGGCCTGTGACTCAGTTTGGAGCCAGAGTCCAAAATTGTGCCCCTCATTTACAGTCATGGTGATTATTCAACTTCAGAGAGAAATACCCATTTTATGGTTATCCTCTGTGAGTCATATATAAAGCAAAACAAAATAAAACAAACAAAAAAACGGCAAATGCAATTGCTAAATACCTTTTTACAAGAGGTGCAAAAACAGTCATTTCTAACAATTAAACTGCCATTTACAGTAGATTGGGTTTTCTTTGTACACCTGCAGAGACTCAGAAACGATGGGGGAAAATGCCCAAGGCAAATAGTCTCCAAGCAGCGGATATTTACACAATGTGAAATTAACTGTACCATAGATACCAAGAGAAAATAAACATTATCTTATGTTGTTATGAAATCAAATAGACATGATATAGCTTCATCATACTTAAAACCTGTAGGACCCCATCCCAAGCCTAAGTAAAAAGTAATCCCTAAATCCCTCTGCCCACTCACCCATTATCTTCCTGTTGCACAGAATAAATGTTTAGGTTACTCCCACCCACCCTCAAATAAAGTGCGCAGTCCATGGCAGACCATAGAATAATGCAACAGGAAAAGCCCCTTTTTGTGTGTTATTATTTAAAAATAAAATACAAACGACAAAAATAAAACAAAGATTGAAGAGAATTCAGCAATTCTCTGTATCTTGCAGAAAAAGGAAAAGCCCGGGGGACGCCCTGCTTGACTGTCACTTGTGTTAATACACGTAGCCTTCGTTGTAGGGGTGGGGGTTGCAGCAGCCCCCTTCCGGCATGTAGGCCATGCTCTCATCAAAGTGAGACAGAGGCACCGTGTCCTCCTCATTGATGTGACGTTCCATGTCCGTCTTCAGCAGCGGGCGCTGATTATCTGGAAAGGCCATGGAGAAAAGGGCTTCTGGATCACACACAAATTTGTAGACATATCTCTCTCCAGCCACCTGACAATAATGCGGCAGAGATGGGGAAAGGCAGGGAAGGAAAAAACAAAAACATGGTTTACTACGCCTTTCTGGTATACTGTTATCTAATGGATAACAACAAAATCAGCTAAGCTTTATAATAGCACATGCGTATATTTAAAAAAAAAGTCCTTACATTGTGGAATATGGGTCAATTAAGGGAAATGCAAAATGTTAACCTTGGGTAATAATTAATTCATTTCAGATACAGCTGGAAAGCTCAGAAGTCTGCTTGGTTTAATATAAAGATAAACTTACATTGTTATTCTGAAAAAAAAAAACTGGATACTTTAATGCACACATTTCACACTGAAATTTTTTTCTCTGTTTTGAAAGGTAATATCTATACTTGTAAAAATCCTGTACCTTTAAGGTGTAGTGTCTCCCTCCTAAAATTACGTTTCTGAAATGGTAGAAAAACTAAACTCACAAACCTTAAAAGAAAAATGTGCTTTGTTCTAAGACCAGACTAGTAATTCACTGATTCACAGAGTAAACTATTTTTTTTTTTTTGGCACTGTGTATTCTCACCTAAAAAAGATACATAGCCTTATTTAAATGAAAGATGGATCAAGAGGAGAGCATCCTGGGTCCATCACTTTTAAAAATGAAGACATGATACATTAGACAGAAGTTAAGGATGTGTATAGAGTGTCAAATTGAAGTAAGAGGTGTAAAAAAGTGAAAGGAATTTAAAATACACAATGCATAGGGAGGAAATAAGAAAGAGAAATGTGACAACCGCCTGAAATAAAGGGGAAGTAGTATAATTTGTTGAGAATGACATACCCCAAATTTAAATTCTGAAGAGTGATGCTTCTCTAGAAAATTATAAACAATTGAGTGAGACAAATATGCCTTCCGGTAATAGACAACGCTGAGACCCTCAAAACCAAAGCGGGGTGGGGCGGTTGGTGGACGAATAGAGTCTTTGTATTAACTTTGATAGTCGCTTTGTAGTGTGTGCAGAGTTTGGGAATTCTAAAAGGCTAAAAATTATTCAACACCTCCTGTTCCCTTGTATCAAAAAGATATTGCTAGTTGATTTGTGACGTGGGGGGAACAGTGTGTTCATGCTTTATAAAGTATCTATATATGTTAGGGGAAAAGAAAGAACTACCAAAGAGCACTGCTGCTCTGGACTCAAATTTAGAACATTTTGTGCCCTGAATTTAAGCAAGAAGAATCACATTAGAAAATTCAAATAATCTGAATATTCCTAGCTTTGAAAGAGTCGAGTAGTTTTTATGAATATAGACACATTTCTTAAACTACTCCTCAGTTCCCTTTTTTTTTGTGAAATGGAGACAGAAATGGTTCCTTGGCAAGCCTGGTGTGAGGTTGATATGGAAAGTCTCTAGCACAGTGTACGGCAATCAGAGAAGCCTGACGTAGGGTTTATTTACTTTAGCCCTTCAGACGAAGGAAACTAAGTTCTTAAAGGTGAAATGGTGAAATGACCATAAAAATAAAAATAAGCAATATCAGAAATAAAGCTGAGGTAATACATTCTGCTTTTCCTTTATTTTTTTTCTGTTCAACGTATTTTGAGAAAAAAAATAAAATAAGTGGCCTGCATACGTCTGAGCTTTTTATAACCTGCTTTGTTTTGTTTGGGGCTGCTAAGGAAGAGATACTTGCTTTAAGCACAGAACCTTTTTTGTCCAACCTGTTGCTATTGGCTATAGTTAAAAATGATGTGATTAATGAATTCAACTGTATAACACGCAGGTGAGATAATAAAATCTTTTAAGGACTCTGCCTTTACTCACTGCTTCCTTCTGTTTCCCTTTTGAAAAAGCATTTTTAGGGCTAATACTGTATTTACTGGACTATGTTAAATGCTGCTAAATTTAGAACAAAAGCTGATAACCAACCATGGGAAATGATGTCTTTCATTATTAGTGTGAAAAATGCTGTACAGTAAGTATGTCTAAATTACAACGCTGAGATAGAAAAAACAGGAATTTTGCAGGGGAAATGAATCAAAAGTAAACAAGGATGTAGCTTTTGAGCTTGCTTTCGATGGCTGAATAAATTTTGTTTTGACTTGTAAAATTCCAGAAGTTATACAAGGAAATTGGATACTAAATTAGAAATTATAGATTAAACAAAAAGAAATAATAGTCTATAATTATATCATTTAGAATATAATCACTGTTAAAATATTGATATATATTTTTCTAGGCATTTCTAAATTTTGAAATATAAAAACACACATGCATTACTCCACTGTTTCTTAGTTCCTTCATAACTACTGAGATTAATTACCAGTTTTTAATTTTTTTATATGTTGAGACCCACTTGGTTATTTTTATTTTATTCTCTAATCTTTTAATTTATTTTTTTACATACACTACATATGGCTATGAATAGTTCTAAGTTGAAGAACAAATGTGGCTATATAAACATTTTCTCCTACATGTTGAAATATATCATTCTATATTATAGATTTTTATATATATAAAATGATGGCACAGTTTTCCTCTTGAATGACTATACCAGAATTTATTTAACCATCAGAATGGTACAACATGTGAGAAGGGCAGTGCATTCTAGAAGGAATGTGACTGGCCCAGCGCGGAGGAGCACCCCTGCAGTTCCAGCTACTCGGGAGGCCGAGGCAGGAGGATAGCTGGAGCCCAGGAGCTCAAGGCCAAACTGAGCAATGTAGTGAGATCCCTTCTCTAAAATAAATAAATTAATTAATTAAATAAATAAAAAAGAAAGAATGTGAATGGTGCACTGGAGGAATCATGGGTGTGTCAAGGAACAGCAAGTAGAATGTGAAGAAGGGTAAATACGGGCAGAAAACTCATAGGGGGCCTTGATTGCTGTGCTAGTTACAAGTACCTACAGGCTTTTAATTTTTGTACATTTGACCATTAAATGACCTGCCCTTTCTTACATTATACAGTGACACTGCAAGAGGTCTCTCACACACAGCATTTCCTTTTCCTACATTAGCTGATAGATGAGTTGTAAAGAATTCCCTTTGGTAGTTACAGCCTGATAGGGAAAATATGAGAAGCAACAACATTTTTATCTATACTACAGTATCTATGTCACTGTTTGATAGCATTTTGCCTTATTCATGTATTAAAATAAGAGGATACACAAATGGAATATGGGATAAGAGGATAAGTGGGAATGGGGAAGTGGTGAACACTTGAGACTGTTTAATACCTGGTATGACATCCTGGAGATACCCCATCAACCACTGTGTCTAAAAGCTGAGGTGTCATTAGGTATCTTATAATAATTTTTAGCTTTCTGCGCATACTCCCTTTAATAAGAGACTTACTGGTCAAGACAAACAAACCAAATATGCCTTGGCTTACCCTGATGTCAGGATGTGAGATGCACTAACAGTAACGATTTATTGGAGACTTTTATTGTGCCAGGTACAATGCATAACATCCCAAGTACATTATTCCATTTAATAATCACAGCAACTTTAATGAAATAAGAATGTCACCTTTTAATAGGAGAAGAATCTGTTCAAGAAGGTGATCCAGTGAGAAGCTAGTGTTCGAACCTAAATCGTGACTGCATTATCTTTTACCCCTGTTCAATACTGCCCAGGGAAACTGCTAAGCATGTTCTGGGAGAGCCCAGTGCTGTACCCCTGCATTAAGGTGGTGGTGAAAATGAAGATTCGGCTATAAATGGGTATGTTGGTACAGAAAGAGAGGAATTTAAAATGACCCCAGAGTTGAGGTGGAAAAGATAGGAGGAGAAGATAGAAATAGTTAAACGTTTTAAAAGCAAGATTCAGAAAACAGGAAGCAAGTGAAAATCTAACTCAGCCTTATCTTTAAGGATTTTGGAAGTTCTAACTTCTGAGGTGGCAAAATCTAGAGCACCGATTCTCTATGCTCTAGGAAACTCAACATTGCCATTTCCGTCTGTTCTATTAAGTTTCATTCAGCAATTAGTATCGTTTTTCTTGGTATATCCATGGTGATAGAGAAATATGCTGCAATCTATAACATGAGACTATGTTCGTAAATCCCAAAGTAAACAAAAGATATAATAAAAGTGTAATGTTCCAGCGGATAAATCATAAACTTGGTTCACAGTGAAGGCAATTAGATCTGAATACACATGTGAGGCTGAAGGGTGTAATAATATCAAATATCCAAATGTTTTATCTTTATTTATTCCTTTATTCATTATTTTCTTCCAAAATTTTATAAGTGTAATTCACTTGTTTGAGTTCTACTTTTTTTCTTTTTTTTTAAAAAAGCTAATTTCAAATATTATGGAAGCTTATTGGAAATAACATATATTGAACTTCGTTTTACCAACTACATAACGTCGAATATTCTTTTTTAATAAATGGTTTAGGATATTAAACTGTCAGATGATATAACCAGGCAAGATTTCAGGGAAGAAAAAAAATGTTTTTACAAATGAGAACAAGAAATGTCTGAATGGTTTAAGAATGAGAACAAGAAAAAAAAGGTAAGAATTGTTAGTCTAAGATTCTTTATTTTCACTGGACTCTGTAAATTTAAACAAAAGCACTTCAAAATTATATAATTGTGGAGAATGCAGCAGAATAACAACTTCTGGAGGTATATAGATGCAATATTAATACTGAAACCACCTTTTTTTAACCATGCGCAGCATAGTAGGAACTTCCAGAAAGCCTATTATTTTGTACATATTATTACACATTTATCTACAATGTCCATGAATTTATAAATAGAAAGGCTTATAATACCAAAACCAAGAGTTAAGCATTTGTTAAAATGAGTGAAAACCTTGCTTCAGCAATGCAATGATATGTGGCTTTTAAAGTATGACGTGCAGATTAATGTGCAACATTTCAATGAATTTTAATGCTGTATTAGCTGCTCACCTTTTGCATAATTCCCTTCTCATAGTAATAGCGGAGTGAACGGCTGAGTTTATCATAGTTCATAGCTGGCCTGTTTTTCTGAATGCCCCAACGCCGGGCCACCTGCCACCGAAACAGAATTACATTGTAGTGTTAAGTATTAATTTGTCAGCATATTTCATAAAAATTAATTAATTAACTACTTCCAAACCCACCAAAACATGTCCAAATCAAAGATATAAGTAAAGTATCAAAAGCTATTGTAATCTGAATTTCCTGTGTCCTGGTTTGCTTTTTAAACCAGGCATGCAGTGATCATTATGAAACATCACAATAGAATTCTTTGTCACTATTGTTTTGGATACAAAATTAAATGGAAATAAGGGAATGTGTTTACAACAGGAATGAACAGGCTGCAATTCACCAAAATGAGGCAAGTTTTCCATTCTGAGATACGCTGTTTTTTCCTTTATTTTTCAGACAAAAACTATACATTAAGAACAGCTTAGTGATCTCTTTGTAAAGATGTTTTATTGAGGTTATGATCAATCAATGAAAAAAGATACTCTACTCAATACTACATAAAAGAGTGAACAAATGGCAATGTGTGTAGCAGAGGACACAGTATACAAATTAATAAACTGAACTGCAAATAATTTTTATTCTCTGAAGCAGCATCAGAATAAAATTGTAGCCGATACTAAACGGGAGAATTAAACATTCATTTAGAGAACAGTAATTGGATGCTAAAAATAAGAAAGAAGTGGAAAAGATCACAATGTATATGAGTCCACAAACAAATATCTCTAAAGCAGAATGTCTACTTTGTTGTTTTGTAAAAAAATCTTAAGAGCTTTTTATTATGTAGCTTTGGAGGAGTGATGTATCTGATTAAGACAGAGTTCTTCAATAGAGCTTTTAAAAAAAACCTCCTTCCTCAATGTATATATGTGTATATATCCCTACCTCATCACCACCCCAGGCTAGCTGAAGCATGATACAGAACAGCATAGCCTGGTTTTGCTACCCCAGCTAAAATCACTTGCTCATTAATTTCCACTTTTTTATTACTATGAGCAGAAACTGCAGCTGTCATGCAAACGCAGGCAACCCCAGGAGAGCATTATCTAATAGGGTTAGTGTGTTCCTTCATTTCCATGAAATTCCAAGTTGTTGCTATCTCACCTATACTAAAATAGAATGCTTCTCAAATGGATCATTTTGTTTCTCTTCACTTTATTAGCAATAACCTTTCTCCAGGGTTGTTTCTTTCTGTTTTAAAAATACAGATCCTTGCTATTTTCTCTCTCACTAATTTGTATTCTCTGAATGAAGATACAACGTACTTTAGTCGCATGCAGCAGTCAGCTTTCTTAAGAGTAGAAGGATGTGATGTAACAGGGACAAGATTATATATTCAAGCAGACAATCACAGTGGCAGGTACATCTTATTTTTCCAAAGATAAACTTCATTTTAATGTAAATGTTCTGAACAATAGTGAAATGAGGGGTGAGAAATAAGAAGCATTTTCTAAATAAAATGTCTTTCAAAAACCTAACAATGGACATCAGTGAATCTTTTATAGACAAGGTAGCTGAACAGCATGCAAACCTGGAGGGGATATGAAAATAAATTATTAATATCTCACTAAAGTAAAGAATAATTTCTGAATACATAGTCATTTATAAATGATTCTTTTCTAGAAACTCACCAGGATGCACCTAGAAAATAAAATGCTCACAACAAACTTTAAGAGAATATCGTGGAGGTCTCTAGGGGAGAGAAATATGATTTTTAATACCATAAACAGAGTTTGACTCTTAGGGTGCCAGTTGATTCTCAGCACCATGGGTATTATGGTGCCCATGGGTATTACTATACATTTTAAAACAATATAATATATTTTTAGAGTTGTTTTAGTGTCATATTCTTTATAAAGTTGAGGGAAATGGGACATAGCAATATGTCTATGAGATACAGACAAAATAGAAGTTTCAAATTAACAGGTAACATAAATAGATCCCAGGCCAGGTAGACCATCTGCCAACTATGAAAGTCTACTCAGCCTTCACATAGGACCCACCAATCATCACTGTATCCAGCACCACTCAAAGCCAAGGCGTGATTTTCAATATGGAATGGGAGCGATGGTGGGAATACTTCCAGTGACTAAAGTGAAAACCTAGGCTGTTAAGACAGTATAAAGATGATGGCACTATGGCATTCACCCTTTTTGTCAAATAGAAAACTAGGATGATGTAATAGTTCAAGCATTATTCAACTTATTTTTAAAATTCATGCTCGAATATGTAACAGTGAACTAGGAAACCACACTCTGAGCCTGGCCATCAGACTTCCCGCTAACTCTTTGAGCTTAACAAGCTTAATATCATCAGAAGACTTTTACACAGAGTCCTATAGATGCCTTACTATGTTAAGAATTATTTCCTAGAACAATTTCCTAGGATTCATGATGAATTCGAAAATAACATCTAATTATTTCAAATATCTCAAAAAGAGAGATTTTAAAGATCAAGTGTTTGCTACAGTTATCCAAACACACTGAGCAAATAATCAGTGCAGGTCTAAAGTCTCACTCAATATCATTTTAAACTTCAAGATGAAACATAAATAAATGAAACCCTTGAGTAATTACAACAAGGTGGCTTCAGAGACATGTTTCATGTGTTCTACTGACATAGACACCCAACGAGCTGCTAGGCAGTAGAGGGAAGAAGATGACCACGGGGAACAAAGGATAAACAAATTTCACAAACATTTTCCCAAGAAGAAATTTAAACAAGACACCATAGTCATTGCCTGATGGAAGTAATTGCAACAGTGAGCAATGCAGCAATCAGAAATGGGATGTTTCATTTTGAACAAAAGCCTTAGGAGACATTCAGTCTTTATTGCACAATTCCCATTGAGTTAGTTATTATTTGGAAATGGTCTACTGACTCTGAATTACCCAGTCCTTTTTTACTTTGTAAGTCTGCTACAGAAAAGTTGTCTGAATGTGTGTTGTATGTATTTCTTCCCTGCATGTAAAAATCACAGAAATTCAGAATTTGGTGGAACTTAATGGTCATCTGGTCAAATCTTCTACTTATTCAAACTTGATCATCATAAAAGTCAACGGTGGCTACATGAAGAACTTAATCATTTGTGAAAGAAGTTTCATTCTTCGTAGTGGTTTAAGAATTACTGACATAATTCAGTAATATTCCCTATTTTAAGAAATAGTTGGCAAAAATAAAAAAATTCTGTTTCTGCTCAGTTTATTTTAATCACAGGTGGAGGGAAATAACTGTTTAACTGATACAAATCCCGGTCGAATGTCCCCATTCCAGTATGAACCAACTCTTGTAGTGATTATTAACATCTTCCATGAGGTGAAGAACAAACATTCCCATCATGCTAAAGGGCTTTCAGATTACTTTATTAAGTGTTTCCAGTTTCAATTTGTTAGTGCTTCCACATTTTTGTGGCTCTTTCACTTACATCATTTAAGTACATCTACAGAAGAACTAATTTTCTTTGACAGTTAAATTAAGCTTTAAACACATTACAAAATTCAACACCAAACATGGTCCTAGATAATGGATATTTTCAAATTTGGATATTGAGCCCTCAGTGTGTGTGTCTGGTGTGCGACAAGGGAGATATTGCAAAGCTAAACCCCTAGTGCAACTAAAGTATTGATATAAACTGAAGTAGACTTAATTTTGTGTTAACCAGCTCCTCTTATTTCACACTTTTAATGCATTCTGGAGTCAGATCATCTCTTAAATTTTAATACATGATGTAACTTTATCTTCTCGACATCAAATTAGGGCATATTACCTGATTATGATTGAATACATGGTTTAATAAAGACAGAAAATGTAAGATGGATGGGTCCAGTAGCTTAGGTTGTGGATGTCCACTGTATATGAAACTATTCAATTTGGGTTCAAAATTTTTTCAACCTTACTTAATCATTCCATATTACTGAGGCTTAGATCGCATAGCTAACGTAATCAGTCACAGGTATGTTAGCTAAAAATCTCCCATTGCTATCTTGGCTGACATAAACTAAATTCAATTTTAACAGTGAGACAAAAAGTTCATATAATAGTCACCTTTCCATGGAGGGCCAAAATGCTACTGATGAGTTATGGTATAATAACAATAGTAGCCTTAAGCCGAAAGCCAGTCCTCGGAAGAATAAAAATTGAACTGAAAAATGAAAATACTCCATTTGCATGTGGGGGAGTGGGATGGAGATGATAGTTGAACAGTTGGTCCAAATTGTATTCCATGTATCCCTACAGTATTATCTCTATTTGAACCCTCTCATTTTGGTAATTTCTTATGTACTACGGCAACATTTTAAACTTCATCCCAACCTTCCAATGAAGTGTACAGTCCAGCTGTGTACACATCACTAACAAAGGGAAACGACATTTCCATCAGGCCTATGTCTCCTAAAACCACGGTCCCCAGTCCCTGGGCTGCAGACCGGTACCAGTCTGTGACCCGTTAGGAACCAGGCCACACAGCAGAAGGTGAGCTGCAGGCAAGCCAGCGAAGCTTCAGCTGTATTTATAGACTCTTCCCATTGCTCCCATCACTGCCCGAGCTCCACCGCCTGTCAGCTCAGCGCGGCATTAGTTGCAGGAAAATAAGCTCAGGGCTCCCACTGATTCTGCATTATGGTGAGTTGTATAATTATTTCATTATGTATTACAATGTAATAATAATAGAAATAAAGTGCATAATAAATGTAATGCACTTGAATCATCTCCAAACCATCCCTCAACCCTCGGTCCGTGGAAAAATTGTCTTCAACGAAATTGGTCCCTGATGCCAAAAAGGTTGGGGACCACTGTTATAAGAGACACTTAAGGACTGAGCATTTTCCGTTGTGGCCTTCATATGCCTTTATCCCCCACAGCTGTTCCTCACCCATCTTCTCTGGCACTTGACTTTGTTCCCTAAATGCTCATCTCAAACCCTCTTGACAAAATCCAGATTGTTCAAATAATGACTGCTAATTTGAAAGAATAATTCCTCCATCCCCAGAAGCAGCTGAACTTTAGCAGATACTCCTCCTCTCCCCTACGGACCATAGGATATCGCCTGCCCTAACTTAGTTGCTCCATTAGAAACTTCTCAAGTTGGCTATTCTTGAATAAAGGCTTAAGCTAACGATGCTCTGGTTGATTTTCTTCAAAATCAATTGTGTAGGATTGTATTCGACTAAAAGGAATATGCAATACGTTGGTAATTTTAAATGTAGACATGCTTTTTCTTTGCTTACATTCTAATTCAGAAAGTTTCTCTGAGTTTTAAAATTTAAAAAATACATTTTGGCATATTAAATATATCGGTTTCTCTGTGTTATAACAAATCTGATTTTCTAACTAAGACCTACAAAACTGACCTCTTCAGGCTCAATCAATTTAAATTCCATTCCTCGGCCAGTCCAGGCAATGAAATGAGAATTTGAAGGGTCATCCAGAAGAGCTACCAAAAACTGCCAGAGCTGAAGCGATCCCCGCCGCTGGTACGTGGGTCCTTCCCGATACATTCCTGGTTCTTGTTTGATGTCCCCTAAATTAAAAAGTTTTAAAGTTTCTTTTATTAGCAGAATTATGTTATTTAAATAAAATTTACATGAAATCAATCACTAACATGGTTAAACCACAACCACTTTAAGGGTTTCTATGAAATAGAATGCTGCCATTAAATAGGAATTTAAAGTAGTTAAATGGTTGAATATAAACCAGCAATCTACACAGTCTTACAGGCAATGATATATAAGATATATAGGTCAATATCAATGCACACAGGTGCAGAATAAATCCTGTGTCAATATAAAGGACACACAGATGTCATTTATTTACAAAATTTTATATAACTGTCTTTTTTAAATTGATTTCTTTAAAACCATAGTTGGTAATCATTCTTCATTGCTGTTATTGTTAATGCCATTAATCACTGCTCTAAGCAATACTGAAGAGGGGTAATCAATTTTAAGTTCTGGGCATTTTGTTTGTACAAATTAAATTCTATAAACTATAATCTGCAAACACCTCATTGACCTGCAAATGACAAACTATTGAAAGTTTTCATGGAAATATTTCAAAGAAAATTTAATAAAATACAAGACAAACACTATACATAATCTGCACTTACATAAATTAAGAAAGTCTTGCGGGTAATTCAGGGCAAACTGGATTACCCTCGCACCACCTTTCCTCTACATTACCATTTTTTCAACTGGCAACAATGAAAATCCCTTCATTTTTCTTTAACTCTTGTTTGTATTTCACTCACTTGAATTTAGCTTGCTATTCTTTTTTTCTAAAAGTCCAATTTAAAAATGCATACATCAGAGCTTTCTGTAAATGTATATTTTTAAGCAAGAAAGTTTTGTGTTATGTGTATTTGGTATTCATATATGGCATACAAATCTGTTAAATAGATTACAGTAATAAAGTTGTTATAGTTGCAATGCTTCTGGTATAAATCTGGTCATTTATTTTGATTTTACAAATATATATATTTACATACACTCAGCTTTGTGACTTCTGATTATTTACTTCTATCTCCAGCCAACCATCTTAAAAATATGTGGAACTGGTCACATTGGGGATGGAGTGTCTAGAGTCCTACAGGTATATCATTGTTAATGCACAAATCACTCCTCTCCACTAAGGAAACAATTCACACAATATATTCAAGCTCATCTCGTCACATTAAGAGTGAATTATAAAAGAGACTAAATCATAAGCTTTCTAAAACTTTCCTCTGTTCAGCAGAGAGAAATATACCTCTTAAAATAGCTATAGAAAGAGCAACACTTTAAAAACTTAAACCAAAAAAAAAAAAAATGTTCAGTCGATAGCTGCTAAAAATCATTACACTGTTTTGGTCTTAACTTGCTATTGATTTCAATGACATTGATTTCAACGACAGTTTTATTTATCTCAGTTTTTCCTTCTGAGATTCACAATTTTTTTTTTTTTTATGGGAGTAACTGAGCAATTATACAGATAGAGTGAAAGACTTAAATTTTACAGTCTCTACATTATTTCTGCCTATAAATGTGACTGATCACACTGACCATGCAAAATGAAAAAATAATCCCCTCATTTTTCTTTCTTCTTATTTTCCATTACTTATAAAATACAAGACAAATACTATCTTGCAATTTTAGTGTAAAATTGAAGAGTATTTAAAAGTCAAAGGGAATAAACAATCAAGGCAGCTAGTTTCCTAAACATTAGTATGACTGTGGCAAGCCACACTCATAATTCTGAGACTTTTTTTCCTTTACATGGCCTTACTAATTTTCAAGATTTCTGAAAATACGAAGCTCACCAAAAATGAAAGAAACTGACGAAGGTCATTCCAAGAAGTAGAAGCTTTATATTTTGTCTCAAGAGAAAAAGCTATATTTTAAGTATTGTGATGTTCTGCTAATGGTACTAAATAGTACAGTGTACACTTCTGAAACACAAAGCTTAGAAATAACACCTATTGTAGAATAAGACTCAAAAAGTGACACCTATTGGGGTTTTGACCCTGGGACCTTGAGTGAAGTTAGGAATTTAAAGGGAGGCTAAGGAAGTGTCTTCTCAAGACTTTCCATTTCTTCTGAGAAGTAGTAAAAAGCTCAAGACCATAGGGGAGTCTTGAAGCAACTAATTAGAGATTGAAAAGCAATCTGAGCATGTACTTTGCTGTTTAAATAATGACAATTAAAAACTTCTGAGAGCTCCCAAGTCATTACAGCCATGATCCCCAAAGTTTGTGCAATCAGCTAATCAGAGTGCCCTGCTCGCTTCCTGTTAAACAATCAAAGCAGGAAATATGGAGACTACTCGGAAGAACCACTAAATCAATTAACTGTTCACTTTTTAGCCAAGCTTCCTAGTAGATGCCGACTTTTGCCACCTTTGTCCAAAAACAATAAAGATTCTAAGATCTGGGAACTTTTCATCGCAACATCAAGTGTTAGCAAAAAGACAATACTTTCCTAACCCCCTTGTAAGCGGTTATAAAGTAGTGCTACATTAGCAATGTACAGCATCCCAGGAAAAAAAAAAAAGAGGGACTAACAATCACTAAGTAAATGGGCAGTTATGTTGTTCCTGTGTTCCATAATGCATCTTTTCACAAACAGTAAAAGAAGGGAGGCTGCATTAGTCATCAGTGCATCCACAGTAGCATGCGTTCTTCTCTGCTTTGTTAATTACAGGATCGGCTTTCAATAAATCTCGAGTAACAAGCTGCATGTGCTCAGCAGGGCAATGGAAAACCCCCTCTTATGCTACACAAAGCTTGGCAAGAATGATGTTCTTTGGCTATATCCCCCCAAATGGACTCTCTCATTAGACAAAGCAAAAAGGTTTCTTAATGGGGGAAGGAAAGCGAAAACTTGTAATAAGTCAAGTTTAGCTAGTATGAGTGCATGATAAAGGATGTGCATAGAAATCTTTAAGTAGGGAAATCCATTATTTTCAGAAGAGGCAAGAATAATCATTCCTTTTTACAAACATCAAAATGGGAAGCACAGTGAAAAACCTACCATCGAATTTTTCTGGGACAACGCAGGTATCATCATAAAACTGCCTGGGGCCCTTTTCAAACATACAGCCTGTGGGGGAAAATGGAACACATTTATTCCTGATAGAAATGAAAACTTTAAAAAATATAAACATTAACACAAAAATTGTGATGGGAAATGACTCTGCCACTTTTCAGCTCTTTGACCTTGGACACATTATTTAACCTCTGTGCCTGAGTTTCTTCATCCATAAAATGGGGATGACAGCTCTTGAACAGTTTTAATCCCTTGTAAGGGTTAAATGATTTAATATATGAAATTTAGAGTGGCTTCTCACACACAGTGATATATACCAATATATTACTACTGACCCAGGCCAGAGCTCATGCAAACATTGAAAAACCTAGCATTTATAATGTACCATTTACTTTTTCAATTTTGTCTAAGTTTCATTATTCAATAAGAAGAGAGGGAAATCAAAGTGAAATACTAATGTTTACCTTGCATTATTACCCTGAGGCTTTCAAAGAGATTCATTTTACCCCCCTTACTACCTTATAGAAATATTTAGGTAGGTTACATTTCTTGTCTTAAACAAGACAGTGGAAAGCAAAACTTTCCTTTTTTTGCTATAACATAACTAAGTCCTTAGAAAAACATGAAATATATTTACAGCTTTTCACAGTCATTTTCTATCCCAAATATTCTTGACTGTGGACTTTATTCTAATTATTGTTATCTTTAATTACCAGGAAGAAATTTCATATAGTTTAGTTACAGTTTTATTTCTCAAATGTATTGGTCTCAATGGTGGGTACATAATATTAATAGCAGCGACAATAATTACATTGCATTTGTGCAAGACTTTGTGTCTCAAATATTTTGGATTTACCACCTCATACTATCCTTTAAACTTCTGCTACTATCATTTATACAAAATAATCTATATTAGACCTAGCCTAAAAGGATGCATCTAAGTCAGTCTTACTGAAGAGACATAGACTGTTTAGGGCAAGAACCATGCATATATTTCCAGAAATTTTGTAATGAAGATTATATATAGATAAATATCATTTTTATTTGTTACTTTGCAGGTATCAAAGTCCCTTAGAGTGAAGCCTTCCCACCACGGTTACCACAAAAATATCCACAATAAAAACTCCTTATATGAAATATAAGCCCTCTTATATGAAATTTTATTCTTAACAATTACTTGTCCAAAAATGTAAAACTATTAGTTAGGTCTGAAAAAGCAAAATTGAATATTCCTCGAAGATACATTTCAATAGAGCCTTGTGAAGGTGGGCTAATCTATAAAGCATAAGTTCAGGTTTAAAAGAATGTGGCTGCTGGCAAAAAAGAACAGAGAAATCCACTTTTCAGCTGGTTCCATGCATATGACTCCTGTTAACAACCAAATACAAGATATCATGACCTGAAAACTCTTTCTTTTACTTTAAATAGATCATTTTGAAATAATGGTTTAGGAAACATAAACGATTTTTTACAAAGAATACAATGATTAATTAATTGACCATAAATTTGGGATGTCTGATTATTCTAAAAGATATTTACAAGGAATTTCAGTGATGGAAAACTTAACTTCTGTTCTGCTGGGATGAGCCAGGAAGCCTTCTTGCCTCATATAAATTGAGTGGCAGCTAGGCACTTCTGAAAGAGGAAAACAACACCGGTCAAAGAAGCGTCTGGAGCTCAAACTGTGCTGTTATCAATGGACAGGGTGTGGAAGGAAAAGTTACAGAAACTGACATGAGTCGCCATGAAGGGAACCTGTCAACATGTCATCAACATTTCAGGCAGAGCACACAAAAGAAATGGAAGAGTGAAGAGTTATACCATGGTGAATGCTGACTCTCTTGAACAAACATGTGAAATCAAAGTTTTACCCAAATCAACGTTTGCTAAATATTGGTTCAAATAGCAACCCCACATGAATATGATGGTGTCTTTGCAACAGTTTCATGAGTTATAAATATGCTTCAGAATATTTATGGAATAAATTCGTATATCCCATAGTATTCTACGTACATAGCAAAATCATTTAATACCAATTATATTTAAAAATGTAACATTTGGAACATTTAAAATATTGCAAGTTGAAAATAGTGTAAATTATTATCAAAAGTTTTATCATATCATGCCTTCTTTACAGAAAGTATTATGCAGTATATAATTTTGACCTTACAAAAGGCAGAGTTAACCTTGTCTCCTGATACCAGCATTTATAATAGGGTTGCATTGTAGTTGATTTTTGGGGTTACCAAATAGTTAGCAATCCATTTTAGCCCAACTTTTTAATTAATGGTACTTCATATTAATTTTTAATGTTATTTGGATTTATTGCCAGGCATAAGGTCCCTCAAATCAGCTGGGCCTAGAAGGGACAGTGTTAATAACTCTGCCATCAGCTCAGCAGCTGCATGGAGGCAAGCATTTTGTTGTACCAGTGTTGACACCCTGCCACAAAATACTTTTATTGACTGCTGCACACCTGGAGTGCGGCTGTAAAAACAGCTGGCTGGCTCTGGAGGCAGCTAGATGAAAACATATAGGCTAAATTCTATTACATATAAGTGTGACCAAATGCAGTCTTTTCTTCCCAGAGGGGGAAAAAGGAGGAAGAAAGGAAATGCAAACATTTCTGAGAAACCCGCTATTCAAATTTGAAGGAACACCTTATAAAAGCATTTTAACATGATACAAAATTAACATAATCCTGGAAAACTAGACAGTTGACATCAAATATAAGATTCAATGGATAATTTCACTAATACGTATCTACTGAAAGGGCTGATTTGTTTATTGCTGTATTTACTCTGTAAAATTCTTCTCAATTTCTATTAATCTAAGATATTTTAAAATACATCAATTTAAAATTTGCAATAAATTAATGACTTACATAATCAGGCTAACACTAAAATCTCCATTATACTTCCAAAGGTCCAACTTAGGATCTAAATTCTAAAAAAAAGCAATGAATGGCAATTTAGAGAAAACAAAATTATATATGGGAATATGATTGTGTTTTTGCCAATTCCTAATATTATTTATTACATTATACTCTACAATAAATAAAATTAACATCTAGCTCTTAAAATTGAGACACTTGGCTAGCGTTGTTTCAATTCAGTCTATTCTTAAAATTGGTGTCCTTTATACAGTTCAGAGAAGCCTGAAAAAAATACGGCTAAGAGGAGTTTATTCCCATAAAGTAACTAAAGTCATGTTATCCTAAAGTGATATCAGTTAATTTATGACTATCAGAGTGGGTCAGACTCTAATCAAATTGTAGAAACATTTCCAAAGTGATTATTCAATCAAATGACTAACATGGTTAATTAGGAGCCATAAACATTGCTCTGAAGTTCATCAAAGTAATGACTTGCCCAGAAAAATTACTGCTAATTAAATTGCCTGCTGCTTTCGTTTCTACCTTATCTAATAAAAAATTCAACCAATGAAGTTTGGCATTACATTTTAACTTTTTCTAAATGCTCGACTAAGATCCCAACTAGCTAAGCGGCTACTTCAAAGGCCAATGTTTTATAGCAGGGAATGGAGGCATTACATTTGTATTCACTTCTGTTTTTTCATGAAGAAAAGTTACAAAATTCAACAACAATAATAAGCTGTAGTTTAGCCTATGCAACAATGTTACGATGACAGCATATTTACGCTGTCCCATTATGTAGCCATGGATTATAACTTTAAAATCATTAGTACACCACTAATGATTATTAGTGATTA